CCTGTCTGGTAGGTTTTCAACTGTTTCAGACCAAGTCCAAAGACTTTAAACATCAAGGCATTGGTCTGTCATATTCATGTAATTTTACTAGACTGACTTGGTCTGAAATCACAACTTTGCTTCAAAGAGCTTACAATATGCACAACACATGACACCCTGAAATCTGGATAAGGAAAAAAAGAGAGAAACCTCAAGTGGAACAATGAGAGAGGGTTCCCTCTACGGGATAGGTTTTTTCTGACTTGACTCTCCCTCCTTTTCCACCAAAGAGTCCTTATATGACACACAACATCAAGTTTTAACTAAGCACTTCATTTTTTATGTCATTTTAAAGCACATTCTTCCCCCAGCTGTAGGTGTTTTGGAACGGAACTCAGACTTTAGTTACTGTAAGTGGAAGGACTCGGTCCGTGTCCCACGCTAGTATCTGAGCAGGATATTTTGTAGACATCCCACTTCTGCAAGCGAGGCCTATTGAAGTATAACATAAGTTGGACTCATTGCTGATTTGAACCCGATTCAAAGTAAAACACGACCCTTTATATTTCAAAGTGGGAGGATTTGTAACAGATCCCTTCTATCTTTCCACAAGTGACATTTTCCCTCGCTGGCTGTTACTCAGGAGAGGTTTGATGGTCATGATTATTTACACAGAGGGTTTCCTTCTTTTTCTCTCTTTTTACAGTCGGTCATTTTCATAAGGGATCATAATACTCTTGGACAGGAAGTATCTGGCTATATAGACTACGCCCACAGACTCAAGACCCAAGATTTTGAACCATATTTCAGTGGAAAGAAGAGGCTGATGCCAGCACGCTCAGATTTATGGTAAGCCTCCTTCCATTGTAACATGTCCACATTGGTTTAAAAAGCCTTTACTCAGGTGGGATTTGACAAAATTTGAAGTGTAAGGAAATCTTATTATCCAAGAATAAAAACTCACATTGTCGTGAGACACCAATATAGGTTTGGAAGGAGCTCTTTAAAAAGCACAGTATGGTTGATATATACAGAGCAAGCTGCTGCGAGCTGAAAATGTAGAATAAATAAATAATAATAAAGTAGAGCTGCCAAAGTGCCGAACTTCTCTGGCTGACGCAGACGTGACTGAATCTCGATTTAAACAGACTGAGATCATGAGATTATTTTACTGTAAAACAAACTGAAGACAATCCAGTTTCTTCAGTGTGACAGCGTTTTAGATTGCTCTTTAGTTCATGGGGGGGCCTGGACACAGTTCCTTTAAACAGGTTCCTTTTAGGTCTTCCTCTTTGTTTGTAATTCTGTTTTCCACTGTGCCAAATCTCCCGGAAGAATTTGTTGGAGAAGGCAAAGATAGAGTGACAAAAACAGAGGAAATGGAGAAGCATCACATTAAAGTTTTGTTTTTTTCCAATATATTTTTATTGATTTTATAATTGAGCAGCATACAACAATCACCTTCAAAAGAACACAATAGAAGGAGGACGGCAAGTCAACAAGGTGGTAATACAGCATACATAAATGTTAAGACAGAGTATATTTCACTTAAGTTTATCCATCAGGCTAATGACTGGTTGCCAAATCTTATAAAACACACTCTCTCGGTTAGACAAGGTAAACCTGATTTTCTCCAGATGGAGTACATTTCCAAATTCTCTCAACCACATTTCGAAGGTAGGAGGTTTATCAGACTTCCAGCTGAGAAGTATCAGCTTTCTAGCCACAAGAGTAGTCATTGACACAACCTGCGTCTCTGTCTTGTCCCTTGCCCATCCCGGTTCAGACACCCCAAATAATACTGCAAAAGGGGGTACATGGGACCTCCCTGCCAATGGCTTTGGTCAGAAAATCAAACAAATGATTCCAAAAAAGCTGTAGTTTTTGACATTGAAAGAAAAGGTGAGATAAAGTTCCTCGACCACTTGAACACTTAACACAGAGGGCTGAAACGTTCTTATATATTTTTTCCACTTTAGTGGGAGAAAAATGCAACCTATACACAACCTTAAATTGGATCAGACAATGTCTAGCATTTATAGAACTACAATATATATTCATCTCTGTAAGGTTTAAGTAAGGTTTCATTAAGGGTGAAGGGATGGGAACATTTCACTAACCCGCAGTGACTTTCTGTGCTTTTATTTATCAGTCACCAAAGTTAGACTGACACATTTTCAGTCATATATGTGTACTGTACGTTTGACAATTCGAGGGTCAGCACCGGTCACGCAATCCCAGAACAAGCCATCAATGAACTGCTGACCTTACAGGTGTAAGCTAAAATCTCCACTCTACTATTCAGCGAGGCAGGTGACATCTTTATAATTCCTGGTCTATCAGGATAGCTGTTTACACAGAGAGCTGTCAGCAGATTACCAGAGCCAAAACCATTCCCACATTCCACATATTCATGCAGACTAACACTTTACCAACATTTCAGATACGTGCGAGAAATCCCAAAAGGACGGACACGACTGGAGAAGGGTGAGAATGAGAGTGTAATACGTGGTTTTATTCAGAGTTCAGCCAAACGGCACACAGCCTGTTTGACCTCGGTGACAGAACAAGGTCTATAACATCCTAA